TTCGGGTAGAATAATTTGCCCTCCTCTCCCCAACTCTAGAGGTAACGCTGCCCTCGTTGGGTGAGGAGTCCCCTTTTTATAACTGAAACTTTTGATTTTAGAAAACTCCTTATCTTCTATTCAGCTTTTTACATCGGATGATAGTCAGGATGAGGTCAGGTGGCTACAATGTGTGGTATCCTAGGTGGACCCTATACAGCAGATTACAGTGTTGTCATTGGGCAAAGCACGGGAAGTTATTTAACGCTAATTTGTACACTGTCCTCACACTAGATTTCCAAATATCCTATACATTCAAAGTATGTCGCCAAAGAAGCTGTACTGACAAATCAACGATATATTGCTCTACCATCATGATTTGGTTGTTTTGTTCCTACTTTCAGATTGTTTTCAAACAATGTCATCATAACGTCCAACAGTTCCTTCACCAAATACTATTTCAAACGGCAACATGTGTGAAAGTTAATCACACTAGGATACAGAAGACAATGTTTGCATGTTCTTTTGGAAAATGTATCTGAAACTGAGATACATTCTATCACATTGAATAGTTTGTGAAATTCCTTACACCTCACTACAACGATAAGGATGTTATGCCTTTTGATAGTAATACTTAACTTTGATTTGTTTTTAAGAATTGCAGAGGGTTGAGTACGTTACATTAAAAAATCAACAATTCACGTGACAACCACAGCTGATTATAAAGGAACGGCATATACCAGAATTATATTTTGACATTTTTTTTGGTGTGTACGTTTTTTAGAAGCTGGTGAAGAATGGTTACAACTAAGTTATTAGTTGTACACGTATTTCATTTTTGTTGTATCAAACGACTTAAATAAACAGTGTTCCGACCACTGCTATGTTTGTTGTATCTCATCCGGTCTGAAGAGCTCTGGATTGAGCGAAACGGGTCGTCAGCTACGAATATGACAAATATGGTGTGGTTGGAATACTGTTATTATACACTCTTCTAATTTGTGAAAATCTCTAAGGGATTAGATCAATAATTTAGTGCTTAAAACGTAATATACCTAATACTTGAGTCTTATGACAAACATGATAATATTTTAACATTGGCGTTTGTAGCTTGTATGATACCACTGAAAATTGATCGTTTTTGGCAAGAGTATTTAATACTCCTTTTTGACATTGGAAATAATGAAATATAGATAAACTCGGGGCACCAGGATCACTCAGAAAGAGTTACCACAAGTCGTAACTCAGCTGTGGTAAGCAAAGTGCAGCGTCTTGTAACAGTTGAGAATGTACGAATGGTTGATGGTAAAAGCCGACCTGGCAACATAATCAAGAAGGATCTTCATCTGGAAAAGCAATACAAGTTACGTGTACCAAAGTTGCTTCTACGACATGTACGTTCAACCGTCACATATCTCAAGCAACTGGACAATTAAACTGTTATTCACGCTATTCCATTCGAAGACAGACTAGTCAAGTCGCCGGATATAAATCTCTGTGCTATCGGATTGTCTTAATATTTCAATTTGTAAAAAAAAAAAAAAGGAATAAGAAGTGAAACTAACTAGAACTCGAATCAATTGGTCTAGCTAACTGTCCATATTTTTTAACCAATCTAGGCCTAGTTAGAGCGCTCGACTCGCAATCTGTGGGTCGTGGGTTCGAATCTCTGTCACCGAACAAAGAAGTTGTAAAAGACTAGCTCAAGAGTTGGTGGTGGGTGGTATTGACTAAGCTGCCTTCCCTCTAGTGTATCATTTCTAAATTGGGGATGGCTAGCGCAGATTGTTCTCGAATAGCTTTGTGCGAAATTCAAAACAGATCTAACCTAACCTACCTGTTCTATCGGATTTAGAATGCCATAAGCCTTACTCCTCATTTCATTTGTTGTGTCGAGATGATAGCAGGTTTCTTAATAAATGTAAATCTGTTTCTGTTAATAACCAAACAGCGGCACACTAGAAGCGTCAGTAAGTGGTTTCTAAGCTATATACGCTGATTGGCATAGTACAGAGCAGTGGTTATTAAGCTTTCTGGATCGCAGACCCCCCTCCCCCACGAGTCTCCAGGACGGTTTCCGTCCCCAATTTTTAAGAACCACTGTGACCCTGGGGTATGCTGATTACCACCGTAGTAAAGCTAATGATACGATATCTTCGTCATCGCTGTGTGAACATGCCATGGAAAATATAATAATATTCTCAACATTTTGAGTGGAAACCTAAAATACATGTACGCTTATTTCCAGTACATGTTTGTGTTCCCGAGTAGAGATAATCTGTTTTATTACTTTGTGCATTCTAATTGCAGAATCGAATTGCCGAGTGGAAACTTTGTACATGAGTGATGACGAACGTTCCAAGTACCTAATCTGGTTGGTGAATAGTGATATTACAGAATATTGTACAGAGATGAGTACGCTTTCGATATATAACGTAGTGGTTGTTTGTAGACAATTACACATGGTTTACAAACACATTCCAGCTAATGAAATATTTTTATTCCTACGGTGCCATATCATATTCTACGGGTTTGCGCGTGGCCTGGTGGTTAGCACGCTTGGACTGTCATTTCAAGGATTCGTTGTTTACGTTTTGTACCCACGAAAACGCGCACCGCATTTTAGGGCTTGAGTGTGCTATGAGAATAACAGTCAAATCCCACTATTCAGTCAGATAAGAGTAGCTCGTGAAATGATGGTAGGTGCTGTTGAATGCCTGTCTTCCC